TAAAGAAAGTAATTTTGTAGACACTATATTTTGAACTAAGACAGAATGTTCATTTTTTTGGCAACTTCATGTACCTAATAAAAGCAATTCTCTAGAACCCTTTCGACAAGACATGCAAGATCTGTTGTCGAAAAGTTTTGCTAAGAACAGTTTTTTCTTTCAAATTTTTCAAAAATAATTTAGTCTATCTGTACATTTTTTAATTATTAAATATTTCAAAGAGAGTAATTCTTAAACACTCGGGAATTCAACTTAATAAAAATAATCGATATCAGCCTGTGAAAAAGAAAAGATAATCTCGGCCTTATCCAAGTTCCCCTGTGATTACATAGTGTAGGGATTACATGGTGAAGTGATTACATAATACATTTTTATTTCTTTAAATTTGTGAATATACAAATTGTACAGTGTAAGTGTTAAAAGTTTTAAAAAGGAATGTTTAAATTAAAAAAGAAGAAATACATGAAATAAACAGATTGTGTAACTGTAATTACGCTACATAAAATAATATATATCTTATTAAATCTTTACATTCATTCTTTGCAATTTTTGCAGTCTGACATCCAATTAACTGTAAATAATAAATTACAATAGGATCGAAAGACACTGGCATAAAGATAGCAAATCATTTACAATGTTAGAGTTCTATTGTCAAAAATAAGTGTTTTTATAAGCTTATTTACTCTTTTTTAATCTCAGGAATAATTGTCCGTGATTTTTTTCACATCTTCATGATCTTTGGAACCGCATATTTCATATGTATTTACAAAAAATAATAAATACTACGACACGAGTAGATAAGGTTAATGCACTCACAACAGAGTATAATGTTAAATATCAACAAATTGTAAGTAATAGTGTGGCAACTAGTGTGTTTCACAGGCTTAGATTTTGGAGGTGAGAAAATGTTGAAATAACAATTTAATTTAGGCCAGTTTATTATGACATGGCCGCAGCTCTATCCAATACAAAGGGTTGATTACAAGTGTAACAGCGGGGATTCACAGCGGAAATGAAAATGGTTAAGTGATGAGAAGCCATTAGACTATCACAATTTTCTCTCACAACAACCTAATTCATTTATCTTGAAAACGATGGATTTGTTTTTAAGTTCTGTGTTAAAACGGCTTATTTTTCCGTTTCCCGTTTCATATCCTACATATATAAGATTTGTGTGTATGGCAGTTTTGAAATTGCCGGCATCGGATATTTGCATTCTGCCCAGTGGTTCATCTACTTCAAAGTCACAGAGAACACGAAACAAGTTAGAGAAAGAAATCCAAGTTACACTGCCCCACATTTTGTGAACGCATTTATTTCAGGAGTGGTTTAAGTGACGACTGGGTATAAAAGTGACTGTTTTCTGATGAATGGAGAAAAAAGGAAACAAAGACCAAACATTGAACAATAAAGGTAAATTTGCAATTATATAATTATGTGTATGTTACGATAAAGTGTAATTAAGGTAGTGTCTTCAGATGAATTCTACCCTTAACTACAGTTCATGAGGATTTCGATCCTTGGTCAAGGTGGTTGCTTTCTTTATTGTGTGAAATGCTAAACACTTTAGCTATCATTTTATTTGGAGTAAAACTACCCGCATGCATGTACATGTTATCATTAACCTCTCTGAACCTTTTAAAAATAATGGCGGTAGTAATACGTGTTTTAATTGCATATGTCCTGTCTGAACTCATCTGAATGCAAAATCGTGTTTCATGCAATATTACATGTATATGATCTGTATTTATATGATAAAGGCACATCATTCTCAAATAAAATCTATCTTGTCTTAGTTTGTCTAAACGTGTGTGTAGACTGAGGGTATATGTACGCGTTCTTTAGATGAATGAAATTTTCATACGGAAAACCAACGGAAAAACTATTTTTCGATTTTACAAAAATTGTGCAAGCAACACTACTCGACTGTGGTGCACATTATGTAATCCGGCATGCCTGAAGAAATAAATGCCCATGAGTTTTGAAAAATTGAAAGTTTGAAAACAATTATATAAGATGACTTACGAGTTTAAAAATTTTATCAATAGGTCAACTATGGATTTGTTCTAAATATGGCGGCCATATTTCCTTTGGATATGTTGGGAATGCATTCAGCAAGTGTTCAATGGCATCAGCCATAAGGAAGGCATAGAAGTATCGCTTCGGTCAAAGAAAGTAAATGTGATAGATGTGTTTGAAATCAAACTGTTCTACAATAATCAAGAGAGGGACTTGCCTCCTTCACCTTTTTTTCTTCGCGGATATAGACTGGACAATACAGTTTTCAACGTACTTTGAGATATTATTTGTGACATCACCATGCTACTGCATGCGCACTGAACCCCCTTCCCTCGTTGAATACGCCTTGAAATCAGTCAAAAAAACTGTATGTGTTTGTATAGATTATTTGTTGTTTATTTATAGATTAAATAATAATGTATTTCATCATTAGAATATTGAGATAAAAATGTCCCTTGAAAGTTTTTTTGGATAAGATGTAAAATGTATGTTTTTTTCCTGTAAAAAGATTTTTAGAGGAAATTAACCCTCTGATATTCTGCTGTTTTCTATATAAAATATTTATTTTCTATCGGCGAATAATGAATGTAAAATCTAGTATGATAATGATGGTTGCTTTGGCTTTGAAATACTGAACGTACAATGCACCAATGTGAGTTTAGAGAGGAAATTTACTCTGTAAATTTTTGCTATTTTCAAATTGTAATTGTTGTGGTGTCAGTGATATTCTTTGGGAGGAAATTTACTCCGTGAAATATTGTTATATCAAGGATAGTCGCTTTTGAATTGACTACTGTATGCTAACTGTATCAGTGTCATTTTTGAGAGGAAATTTACCCTGTATATTTTTGCCTTTTTTCAAATTGTAATGTGGTAGTGAACATTATATCAGTGATAGTCTTTGGGAGGAAATTTACTCCGTAAAATCTAGCTGCATAAACGATGGTTGATTTGGCTTTTAAATACTGAATGTACAATGCACCGACGTGAATTTACAGAGGAAATTTACTCTCTGGATTTTTGTTAATAACAAACTGTAATATAAGTAGTGAACACTCAATCAGTGAAATTCTATGGGAGGAAATTTACTCCGTAAAGTCTTGTTATATAAAGGATAGTCGCATCTGATTTGACTACTGTATGTTTACTGTATTTTGAGAGGAAATTTTCTCTCTAGATTACTAGGGTATTGCTATTTCAAATTTTAATGTAGTTGTGTACACTATATCAGTTATATTCTTTGGGAGGAAATTTACTCCGTAAAATCTAGCTGTGTAAACGATGGTTTCCTTGACTTCGAAATACTGAATGTACAACGTACAGACGTGAATTTAGAGAGGAAATTTATTACGTAGATTTTTGTTATAAACAAACTATAATGATAGTAGTGAACACTGTATCAGTGAAATTCTTTGGGAGGAAATTTACTCCGTAAAATCTAGCTATGTTCACGATAGTTGATTTGGCATTGAAATACTGAATGTACAATACACCGACGTGAATTTAGAGAGGAAATTTACTCTCTAGATTTTCGTTAATAACAAACTGTAATGTAAGTAATGAACACTGTATCAGTGAAATTCTTTGGGAGGAAATTTACTCCGTAAAGTCTTGTTTTATAAATGATTGTCGCTTTTGAATTGACTACTGTATGTTCACTGTATGAATGTCTTTTTGAGAGGAAATTTCCTCTCTAGATTTTTGCTATTTTCAAATTGTAATGTAGTTGTGTACACCATTTCAGTGATAGTCTTTGGGAGGAAATTTACTCCGTAAAATCTAGCTGTGTAAACGATGGTTGATTTGAAATACTGAATGTACAATGCAGCGACGTGCATTTTGAGAGGAAATTTACTCCGTAGACTTTTTTTTCTATTTTGAAATGTAGTGGTGAACAATGTATCAGTGATATTCTTTGGGAGGAAATTTACTCCGTAAAGTGTAGCTATGTTCACGATGGTTTCTTTGGCTTTGAAATACTGAATGTACAATGCACAGACGTGAATTTAGAGAGGAAATTTACTCTCTAGATTTTTGTTAGAACTAATTTGCAATGTTAGTAGTGAACACTGTATCAGTGAAATTCTTTGGGAGGAAATTTACTCCGTAAAATCTAGCTGTGTAAACGATGGTTGATTTGGCATTGAAATACTGAATGTACAATACACCGACGTGAATTTAGAAAGGAAATTTACTCTCTAGATTTTTGTTTATAACAAACTGTAATGAAAGTAGTGAACACTGTATCAGTGAAAAGCTTTGGGAGGAAATTTACTCCGTAAAATCTAGCAATGTAAACGATGGTTGATTTGGCATTGAAATACTGAATGTACAATGCACCAATGTGCATTTAGAGAGGAGATTTACTCTCTTGATTTTTGCTATTTTCAAATTGTAATTGTTGTAGTGAATACTTTATCAGTGATATTCTTTGGGAGGAAATTTACTCCGTAATATTTTGTTTAATTATGGATAGTAGCTTTTGAATTGACTACTGAATGTTAACTGTATCAGAGTCATTTTTGAGAGGAAATTTACCCTGTAGATGTTTGTCTTTTTCAAATTATAATGTGGTAGTGAAAACTGTTTCAGTGATAGTTTTTGGGAGGAAATTTACTCCATAAAACTAGCTATGTAAACGATGACTTGCGTTCTTTTAACTTTTAGTATTTGCACCAATAAATATCTTGTAAACTTGTTATTTGTTGAGTTTTGTCAATACCTAAGGGCAAAATGCTTAAAACAGAAAAAAAGATTTTCTGTTTTGATTTTGGAATGCGTTTTAACTAGATGACACAGAGAATTTTTTTCATTGTGTAAAATGTTATCTTCTTGCTTTAGTCAGAAAAAAAGATTTTCTGTTTTGATTTTGGAATGCGTTTTAACTAGATGACACAGAGAATTTTTTTCAGTTTGTATTTTTTTCTGTATATTCTTTCTACGATACCTGTTATTAATTTTTCATATTTTGTTTGTGACAGGTTTTTACCATATCCTTAGTATCTTGCTGCTAAATGAAAGAATTATTGTGGAGGAGCAGAGAAAAGGGCACCTCAACATGTTCAAGGTCAAGCAGGTAATCATAGTGGTAAAATGCTTAAAAAAAAAAAAATGGCGAAAAAATCATTAGTCCTCAATTTACATGTCTAACAACATTAGCTTTAAAATCTGTAGCTCGCTGGCCTGAAATTATAGATAATTATCTGTCTTTATTACCCAGACTTGAAAAAATGGCATATCTTTTGTGGTCTTCTGTAAATTTTTTAATTAAGCAAAATTGAGCTGTGTTTCCTGTAGGTCAATTGATAATTTTACAATCAACTCAGATTTTGTGAACTATTTAATATATGCAATTGCATAAATCAGGAAGCACACATATAATATGTATATATAGGCAAATGGGTATTTATTTTTATGTTTGTTGTAGAAATTAGGAGCTAGATGTGCTTCTCCAGAGCTGAAAACTTCTTGGCATGAAGAGAAGAAAAAGCAAGAAGAAGCAGTATTAAATATTGATTACGTCTTCATAGTACAATAAATGATTCTAAAGATAATACTATCTATGAAATTAGAAAATTGAAGTTGCGTTCTGATGAATGTGAGGAATAAAGTCTTCAAAGAACAGGACACCAAAAGTGCCACTCTCAAATCAAAGCACTCTAAAAGGCAGAGCATAAGAAGAACTAGGACAAATAAAGAATCTAAAAGAGTCAAACCTTTGGATGTAGTAATTGAACAGAGATGGGCTATTAGAGATGAAATATCTGAGTTGCTACTGTTTTGCACAAATGTGATGCTTTTTTTACGTATCTTTAATTGACACATTCAATGTTAGATAAGAAAAATATACCTAGTGTTGTATTTTTGACAGTGAAAGTTTTTTCTGATGCTTGATTACAGATTAAAACTGGTAAGTTTTTTATTGTTTAAACATTTATTGGTTTGTTGTGTAATCTGCAATCACATACTTTTAATCTTGATTTATATATTACATATATGTACAAGTCTAACTTAAATAATAAGTGCATGGATATTATTGTGGGAAAAATAAGACAATCAAGGGTAGTCTGAAAGAGCTTTGCTGGCAGTAAGTTGCAGATCTTGATACCCAAATAAGAGATAGGTGGTGTCTCTGACCGATCCTTTTGCTGTTGCTTGTGGGCGAGTGAGGCTTCTCTGTCAGTGGCTTAGTGAGTCATAGATGTAAAAAATAGAATAGGCAAATGAGGTAGAGACATTTCTGAGTAAAAAGGGGTGAATTGTGATTTTAATAAATATTACAATTGATATTGCAAGAGTAATGAGAATTGCAAGAGTAAAATATTTATTTGTTTCCTTCCATTTGAAGTAAGAGAGTTTATGAATTATGAGTTATGGAATTGTAATTAAGGCTTAAAAAAAGTTGTTAAATATACTTGTACATATGTTTATACAGGACTTTTATATGTGCATGTTTCAGAGCTCATTCTTGATATTTTTAGGCAAAGTTAAAAATATCACTATTGAAATGTCTTGCATTCCAATGTAAAGTTGATTTAATGAGGATATGTTAAATTACAATCATCAAGCAATAAACCTAGCAGTTGGAGCAGAAATGAGCTACATGTATTGTAAACAAATTTAAGCTGCTATTGTTTTGTGTAATTGTGATACTTTTTCCTTAATTTGAATTGACATAACCAAATGATATAAAATATTTTTTTGGGTGTTGTATTTTTCACAGTCAACATTAAGTATTTTACAAGTTGATCTTGAATAATTAGTGCATGGACATCTATTGTGGAAATACTTGGGAAACAATATAAGGGTGGTCTGAAAGAGAGGTGCTGGCAGTAAGTTGCAGATCTTGATACCCAAGTAAGAGAAAGGTGGTGTCTCTGACCGATCCTTTTGCTGTTGCTTGTGGGCGAGTGAGGCTTCTCTGTCAGTGGCTTAGTGTGTCTTATTAAATGTACATGTAAAAAGAATGGACAACTTTTATTGGCAACTTTTATTCTTTTTATGCAAAGTATGATATAATTTATTGTGGGAAACTGAAAAGCCATTTACAACTCATGCAGCAGTTTTAATAGGGGCAGTTTCAGTCAGATTTTGCAGTCTTTTGGAATCCAGAATGACTACATTTTTGACCTGTTGTGTTTTGATTTATTGTGGATTTGAATTTTACATACAATTCTATTCTTATATTAAATTATTTTTAATTACTTCAGTATATTACTTACTACTAGTATGTAAAAATTTACTCTATTATAATAGAGCTACAATTATGATTGTAAATTTTTAAATTCTGACTTTTAGGCATAAATTTGAAGTATCTTGTACTTTGTTAGAACTCATTGTTTGTACACTATTGAGATAACATCTAATAAAATTGAATGAGAAATGGATTTGTGTATGATTGTAAAATACTTGCCAAAAAACCCACAATTGTAAACCATACAAATTATTGATGGAATAAATATAAAATAAAAATATTATGCAATAATATAATAATATTAAATTTCATCAAATACAACCTTAAATCTTAATGATATGGGAAGGTTTAATCCGTACATTTTCATCACATATACAAGAGATTTAATATTAGTTTATGAAAGATTAAAATTTGAACGTATTAGTAAGTTTACAATTTTCCGTATATAACTTAATTTTTGGAAGTATTATAAAGTAAAGTGTGAATTTAACAAAAAATAATGAGGTAAAGATCTACGTTAAATTTTATTAAACGAACAAATTTAATATGACCATAAAACTTAATTTTATGGCCATGTTTAATAATAATTATACGTTTTGTATATTAGAGGTATAATATTTGTTTAAGGCAGACTTAAATCCGAACGTATTAGTAAGTTTACAATTTTCCAAACTTTATTAAATTTGTTCTTTTAATTTTTCATTAAACTCGTATTAAATGCTAATTATTTTCTAACATTTACGATCCCACAATATGTTATATTATGCATTTAAACATTATATAATCGCAGCATTTAAATCGCATTTAAGGTAAAATTAAACCCGACTTTTCATGCAGTGTATCACACATATTTAATAGTTCAGTCCAGAGAAAATGCACGTTTATTTCCTCGTGGCGTTTGGCGTTTGGCGCGATGATATGAATAGTGGTCCACCTTTTATAATTCTTAGACATGTGTACTGTTGCAAAAGTATACACAAGTATAATTAGAGCAGTACTCCCTATAGCTTAATGGTTTGCGCGTTGAGGATAAAAGCAAAAAAAAAAAGCGCATTGACGTTGGCGACCTGGGTTCAATCCTCTTTGTGACCAAAATTTTGAATCACTTTTCAACTTTTCATTTTACGTGGTTTTTTTTTTCCTGAATCGGACGGAAGACCTCTCGTTGCTCGCAACGAGATCGTATCTAGTTATTATTATTTTTCTTATTTTTTGACTTTCTAATTTTGTGCACGCGATTTCTCGAAGACTACTGGATTGAATCACATGAAAATTTTCAGACAAATGTGTTGTAACATGAAAAATTTATTATATCCGAGAGAAAATGTGGAAACTCACTTCCGGTGCCAAGTTACAGACAATTTTCTGAAATTAAAATGACATTTTGTCCACGATTAAACTCAAAAACGGTAAAAGATATCAGCATGAAACTTGAAGGGATTATAGATCGTGATATATACTATCCAGGATGCGACCCTTTGTTCGTCGTCGGTACTTCCTGTCGTTAGAAGAAGCGATTTGAAAAAATCGCATTCTATAACTTTTTTGTTTTTCAATATTTTTTATTTATTTTTGGAATGATAATAGAGACCCTTTGATTGATGCTTACTATATAAGTTGTTTGGATACTGGTTAGTCTGAACTCTAGATATTAACATTTGAAAATCTGAAGCGGGCCCAAAATGGTGGATGTCTCTGTCAACTCCGCCATTTCGCGAGTAGGGGTTTATGGAGGCAGCTGAGCGTTTGATTAAATTATTCTGACATAAGGATGCCTGAAATATAAAAACTACTTGGACTTTCACGTAGTAGTACCTTGCAATTCAGTGTAATCTTAAAACTTAATTTCCGTTTCACTGCTTTAGTGTAACTGGTCTAGATATGATTTGTATTGTGTACAATGTGTTAAATATACTTTCTTAATGTCGAAATTAAATAAAGACGCTATTAAGAAGTTGTTTTATTTAATTTATTTCATTGAAGCTATCATACCTATTTATTAGATCAGTCCAAAGAAAAGGCACGAATATTTATTCGTGCCGTTTTGCGCGAGATTATGAATAGTGGCCCGCCTTTTATAATTCTTTTTTTGATTTGAGATTTTTCGGAAATTCGCTTCCGGTGCCAAGTTATGGGACATTTCCTGATTTTAAAATGTCATTTTGTCTTCGGATAATCTCATGTTTGAACGAAAGTAACATAAGGATAAATGGAATGTAAATGAATGCGTTGATTGTCACGTATAAGTAACGTTGCATTTCGGTGTCAAACTAAAGATATGATCCAAGGTCTACTCAATCGTCTTTTATCATTGGTTTTCGCTGTTTCTCAAAGTAGAAAAAGAAAAGACAATATGTGCAAATGAAATTTTTTTGCACCAGGTAAAAAAACAAATCTTAAATCATAGCTATAAGTAATAGTTTTTCAAGAAACAATATCGATGTATATGTAGTAATTATGAAACGTTACCACTGTTTTTCCCATGCACACTTGTGTCATATTTTAAAAACTTATAGAAAAGACAAAAATAAGAAAACAATTTTTTAACAAGATCGTTTAATGGAATTTATATTAATATTCTTTTCTCAAAGATCGATCTGATTAAAGTATTGAACATAAATGGTATCTGGTCCTTGACCGGCGTAGTGCGAGACGTTTTTCGGCGAACCACATCAATCTTTTCATGAAAGTGTAAGTAATCAGGATAGTTCACTGTATTAGTTAGATCATATTAAGTAAACTTTTAGTGGTTAAGAAGGGGCGGAGGGAGCGAAGCGACCGAGCCCTTCTAAACCACAAAAATTTTACTTAATATGATCTAACTTACTTAGAACCTATTTTTCATTGGCTAATAAGTCAGTGCGCGGAATTACTGCATAAACATAAAATCTTAACAATATAGTGATCAACTTAATAGAAAATTTAGCAGGTGCTGATTGGAGGAAAATGCGGGTTAGGTTCTAATTGGGGATTAACGGGAGTTTTAACCATTTCACCTCTATAGTGTTATTCACCTTTATACGATATAGAATGTGTACAATATGCTAAATATACTCTCTAAACCTCAAAATTTAGGCAATAAGAACGTTCTTTTTTTCTTTTCATTGAAGTTATCACACCTATTTAATGGAACATTCCAAAGAAAAGGCGCAAAGATTTGATTGTTGGGTTTGAAGCAAAATTATGAAAAGTGGCCAGGATTTCATAATTCGTAGACTGGTGTACTGTTGCAGAGGTATATACATAGTACATTTAGAGCAGTAGTCCCAATAGTATAATGGTTAGCGCGTTGGAAATAAAAAAGCGTGTTAATTGGATTTTCACGCTGGCGACCAGGATTCAATCCTCCTTGTGACTTATATTTCTCTTCAGTTTTTCAGCTCAGTTTTACGGGGTTTTCTTCCAGAATCAGACGGAAGACCTCTCGTTGCTCGCAACGAGTTTCTTTTCTAGTTATTATTTTTTTTATTATTTTTTTTTACTTTCTAATTTTGTGCACGCGATTTCTCGAAGACTACTGGATGGAATGACGTGAAATTTTCAGAAAAGATGTGTCGTAACATGAATTTTGTATATTCGAGAGAAAATTTGGAAACTCACTTCTGGAGCCAAGTTACGGACAATTTCCTGAAATTAAAATGACATTTTGTCCACGATTAAACTCAAAAACGGTAAAAGATATCAACATAAAACCTTCAGGGATTATAGATCGTGATAAATACTATCCAGGACGCGACCTGCTGTTCGTCGTCGCTACT